TGGCGACAACATCAGACTTGTCGAGTTTGCAGCCGGGACCTGCCTGGAGGGAGAAGAACACACACAGACACAATCCATCGTCGATCCCCAGGAAACGATGGTAAAATGTGGGAAGTGGGGGGAAGACGAACGTGACGAAAATAGGGGAAGCCTTGGGCTTTGTGTGCATATTTCTCTGTGTGTCCCTGGGCCCCTTCCGTCTGGCCCGGAGCCCGACGCCACGGCCCGACGGCGCCGCGAGGCCGCGGCGCCGCTGCGCGCCGCATCGGCACCGCGGCACGGCAGCACCGCGCCACCCTGGCGCGGATGGCCGAACGACCCCTGCAGCGGGACACCCTGGCAACGCGGTTGCCGCCGCAAAAACTGTCGGTTCAACGCTGGCACCGCGCAAAGGCGCCCCCACAAACGATGGCCGAGGTGCGCCCGAAGGCACTTCCAAAGTGCCTTCGGCGCGCGCGAGCGTGCACGGCACATTCTGTTCGGCGCCGCCTTTGCGCGGTGCCGCCGTTGAACCGACAGCGTTTGCGATGGCAACCGCGTTGCCAGAGTGTCCCGCTGCAGAGGTCGTTCGGCCGTCCGCGCCAAGGCACACAGCTTCGCAGAAGGAAAACATTTCGGCACCCACACCCCGATAATGTTGTCGGGCCCCGCGGCACGACATTTGCCACGTCGCCGAGGCACCGCGCGCTCACGACTTGCCGTCGAACCTGGGATGAAGGCGGGCGTGTCCCTCGACATGTGGAATGTGCAAAAATAGTCCAGAAACAGTATGGGGACATCTGTTTGACCATGTTTGCCTCTTCTCGTGCATGTTTTGCCTATGTGTTAGTTGTCTTCCAAGGTACGCCTGTGGGAGGACACGCCCGACCGAAACCTAGGACAGAAGAACACCCCTCAAGAACACAAGGCCCTTCGCCGGCCAACGCGGACAGAACATCCAGGGGTACCCTCCCCGGGGCGCACAAGGACGTCCAACAAGCGCGAGAAGCATGAGGGTACCCTCCCCGAGCCGACCTCGACCCTATACCTCGGCCCGGCTGTACCAAACCACCCCAGCCCAACCCGAGGGCCCCAGTCTCCCTGACATCCCGGTTTTGGGGGGGGTGGGGGCGGGGTCCACGGTGCTTTTTCTTGATGCTCCAGAACGCCCCCCCGCCTGGAACTTGTCGGGCCCAACGGTCACTTCGGGTGGGGTCGGGGCGTGCCCCGGTGGGCAGTCGCGCGCGTCCGCCCGCCGCGGGACGTGGGCTCAGGAGACGCCCGGCGTGGCAGGGGCCGCCTCCCAGCGCCGCCTTCCCCCCCTATGGGCGCGCCGCCGAGCCGCAGCAACGTGGAATACGCGACGGGCCCTGGGAAGATTTTGGACCCAAAAAGTGCCTGCCCTCTCTGTGGGGCGCAGCTCCCACTCCCGCCGGCCTTCCGCCGGCGGAGGCGGCCTCGTTTGGCTTCCGCCAGCTTCCGCCGACCTGCCGCGCCCTCCGCCGAGGAAGGGATGACAGCCCCCTCGACCCTCGAAAGCGAGGCCTGTTCGCAGGAGGCCTGCGGGAGGTCTGAGAAGCCCCGCCGCCTCCTGAGAGGGCTGGCCCCCTGAGCATTCCCCTTTGTGGGCGCTGGTGATCGACATTGGAGTTGTCGCGTGTCTGCCTCTTCCATCGTTGGTGCTCTTTTGGATTTGCCCGGACACCCGACCGGAGCATGGTCGGCGACTACAAACAGTGTGGTTATGTTGGGGTGAGGTTTGCAAGCCGCATCTTTTGCAATCTGCACCCTTCTGAGTTGCCGGCGTTGGCGCGGGACCTCGTCGGTCGAGTCGCGAGTGGGGGGAGGGAAAACCGACATGGTTGTTATGTTCACAGAACTACGTGCGCAGTGTTGCATACGCTGCACGCCCATGTACGGCACAGAGACGGAGCTCGAGGGCTCGACCTCCTGCCTGGGTGTACCACAACGGTTTCGGATTCCCAGCCCAAGTATACTCACGAGCCGAACCCTGAAGCGAGAGCCCACTCGCTTCCTAGTCGGTTCTCGATGTGCGAAGTCAGCATCATTCCCCAATCAGTGCTTGCACTGAAGGGGTCCTAGCGGAAGTTGAAGGATTTGGCGAAAATTCCCAGCCGATTTCGGTGGCAGGCTGGGTGTCCAGGTTCCCGGGTTCCCGGTTCCGGGTTCCCGGGTTCCCGTTTCTGGGTTCTGGGCCGATTTCGGAGGGCGGCGAGGTTCCCGGGTTCCTGGGTGTTTGGTCGATCTTCTTATCGATCGGTTTTTTTATCGATCTCATTACTGACTTCTCGATCGATCCCACCATCGATCTCACAATCGATCCCACTATCAATCTCACAAGCGATCTCACTAGAGATCGCATGAGCGGTCTCGCGATCGACCTCTTTATCGATCACATTGAATCGATTTCACTCTCGGTCTCACGATCGACCTTACAATCGTCCTCATTATCGATTACGCTATCGATCTCATCATCGATCTCACAATCAATCTCAAGATCCATAGTATCAATGTTCAAATCATCCACCGATTGGGTTTTCTCAGGTGTAATGTTGAGCAGCATAAGCGTACCTCACAGAGGTGCGGGCGGCTTCGTCCGAATGCTCGTACCTGAATTCGATGGTCCGCAGCGTAGCTCCGATGGCACCTGTTCCGCGCCAGGCTTCGTGGCCGACTTTTCCAGACTATGCCACCGTGGCACTTGCATGTGTGGAATTCTAGCTTTTAAGGCTCCCTGGCTAGTTAGGCATTTAGGCGCCCTCTGCGCATCATTTCCAGCAGTCGTTCTGTCTCGAGGCTGGCTGATGTTGCGGAGGGGACTTGCATGCAGATTTAGTGCAAGATCGTATGAGAAACAGGTTCTTTGTGGCACTGACCTGTGTGGGTTCAGTCGAACAGGCGGGTCATCTAAGGGCGTGGCATCTTCCCATGAAGTTCTTCTGACGATGGCTGGAAGAGAGAATGGAAGCTGTACAGAGAAGACGGCCGCCTGTGGACAGGCACGGAAGTGGCAATGTGCGGCCGGGCATCCTGCTGCACAGAACGTCGAGCATCAGAGTGAGGGGGCCGAACGGTCATTCGTTGTCCCTGGGTGCGTGGCTGAATAAGGAATTTGTGGTGAGAATTCTGCTTGTTGCGTTGTTGTTGTTGACCTTGTTGTTGTTGTTGTGGTGGTGGTGGTGGTGGTGGTGGTTGTTGTTGTTGTTTGGTGTCGTCGTCCCACCCGCGATCCACCCGCGACCCACCCCGCGACCCACCCCGCGACCCACCCCGCGACCCAACCCACGACCCACCCGCGACCCAACCCACGACCCACCCGCGACTCACCCCGCGACCCACCGGCGACCCACCCGCGACCCACCCCGCGGCCGATCCGCGACCCATCCGCGACCCACCTCGCGACCCGCCCTGCGACCCACCCGCGACCCAGTCCGCGACCCACCCTCAATAGAGGAGAAACCACCCGGACCCGACAATTGACGTTTACTAAACGGCCCTGGGCGTTTACTAAACATCCCTGCCCTGTTCGATTCATTCCTTGTCTGCGTTTACTAAACGGCTTCGCTTGTCGGGGTGATGATTCTGGGGTGGATTTCCTGCCCTCTACACCCGCGACCCACCCGCGACCCATTTGCAACCCACCCGCGACACACCCGCGACCTACCCACATTAGTTTAACGAAAAAATCGGCGCCTGCGCCGAGCTCGTTGTATAGTTTGTCAAACTTTGGCGGGCGTCTGCGGCGGGCTTCTCCAGAGTCTCGCAAATTGCCGACGTCCACACCGCCCCCTCACTGTTATCCACATATGAGGGGTGCTACGGTATTTCCAGAGCCGGCAGGAGCCGGTTCTCCGGAATGTGCTCGCGGGAAGCAAGGGGTTCGCTATGTACGAATGGTTGATCGCATTTTTTTCGTTGCATCGTCGGGGGACGTCGTCTGTCATTCAAATTGGTGTCTTTTCTTGGGCCCGACGCGGGCTCGATGCGGACTCGACGCGGATTCGACAAGTCTGGCATGGACTCGACACGGATGACGCGGATAGCGACGCGAAGTGACAGACAAGGTCACCTAAAGATGCAGTATATAGTTTTTACACGCCGCCCAGGCCGATGTTCGCGGTTCGCTCGACCTTCGTATTCGTACATTGGTTCTCGGGGATTTTGTCCGGGCTCCCCACTTATGTGCAAGATCACCCGATCTAGGAGTAGCAGGGCTTGCTGGGTATTCCGCCGATCCGCAGCCGTAAGTTGTCATGTCGTGTTTGTCGCAGCGTTGGGGAAGCCCAACGTTTGCCCTGGCCTTGACAGCATCCCGTGGAAGCAGCATCTGGAAATATTGTGGCAAGTGAGCGTGTATGGCACAAGCAACCGGAGCTTACCAAATGAGTTAATAACCGGCCTAGTCTGTTCACGCAAACGCCATTCCTCATTCCCTCTCCGACTCGTTCCATCTTCGCTCCCTTCTTCGCCTTCCCATCCTTTCCTCCCTCTTCCCGGTTCATCCTTAGTCTTTCCCCCTCCACTGCTTCCTCCTTCACTCCCCCCTCCCTCTCACCCTCCCCATCCCCTCTCTGCGTGACTCCTTCTCGCCTGCCTGTCCTCCTAAGGCTGAGGCCGCGGACTGTCTTGTCAGGGATGGCTGAAGCCATCGACGCGCCCCTCACCTTGCATCCTCTGCACATCCGACAGAGCCAGACGGGGGATCAGGGCGAGGGCGCGTGTTAAACGTGCCTCCTCCTCCTCCTCCTCCTCCTCCTCCTCCTCCTCCTCCTCCTCCTCCGCCTCCTCCACTCCTCCTCCTCCTCCTCCTCCTCCTCCCTCCTCCTCCTCCTCCTCCTCCTCCTCCTCCTCCTCCTCCTCCATCCTCTTCCTCTTCTTCCTCCTCCTCCTCCTCCTCCTCCTTCTCCTCCTCCTCACCGCTCGACATGCGCACGCGCACCAGGGGGCGCCCCTCCTGCCAGCGCCCCCGCGCGCCGGGGCCCGGCCCGGCGGCGGTCGCCATGGGCGCCGCGCTGGCGGCCGTGGCCGGCTGCTGCGCGCTGGGGGCGGAGGGCGCGTATGTTCGGAGCCTCGGAGAGGAGAGGTCAGCCACGCGCAGAGGAAGAGGAGGAGGAGGAGGAGGAGGAGGAGGAGGAGGAGGAGAGGAGGAGGAGGAGGGGGGGGGAGGGGGGAGGGGGGAGGGCTTATTAGAAGCACCCCTACTTCTCACAAGGCGCAGGCCTTACATCCATAGATCTAGGGCCGGCGCCTCCTGAGAAGCGGCCTCCATCTAAGGAGCCCTCCCCCCTCCCTCCACCTCCTTGTGCGCGCCGCCAAAGAGGATCGGTCGGGCGGCTTCGACGGGTCCCAGAGGTGTTCCAGCCTCGGTCGTCGTGGTGATTCCCTCAGGTTTCGACGGCGCGTACGTTCGGAGCCTCGGGGAGGAGAGGTCAGCCACGCGCAGAAGGGGGTGGGGGGAGGGGGGATGGCTTCTTAGAAGCAGCCTTCTTCTAAGAAGCCCTCCCCCCCTCCCTCCACCCCCTTGCGCGCGCCGCCAGAAAGGAGCGGTCGGGCGGTTCCGACGGTTCCCAGAGGTGTTCCAGCCTCGGGCGTGTCGGTGATTGCCTCGGTTTTCAAGGGCGCATCCTGCAGCTTGTCATCGCTTTCTGGCTCGTCAGTCTCAGGGGTCGGGATCAGCTCGAGGCTGGTTTACCCGAGGTTCAGGGGCCACGTGAGGGGGGTCTGCTCAGCGGGTTCCAGGGGTCGAGGTCCCCAGGCGCTTTGGTCGGTTCTCGGCGGCTTGTTTCCCGGCTGCGAGCACGGGGGGGGGGCAGACGGGGCGGGCTTGCTGAGAAGGCCCGGAAGTCCCCTGGACTGCTGAGAAGTTTTCCAAGCTTTTCCCCCAAGACTCGAAGACGCAAAAACACCTAAACATAAGCTTTCGGCGCTACGCCCGGATTTCTTGGATCTGCGCGGGGCCCCCCTGGCGGCGCCTCCGGCGCCGCCCCTGGCGCGTTCCGCGCGCCAGGGAGGGAGGTCCAGCGCAGATCCAAGAAATCTGCGCGGAGCGCCGACAGGTTCTGTTCATGCCGTTTCGTGTGTGGTTCCTCGAAAGACAGCCGCCTTCCGAGAAGGCCCTCTCCTGCTCGCTGCCCCCCCTTCGCTCGCCGCCGACTTCTGGCCTCGGGATGCCCTCCAGCGGCTACGCCTCGCCGAGGGCGCTCGGAGGGTGCCCAGGTCGGCCAGGGCGGGCGAGCCATGGCCCGAGGGCCACCGAGGCCTGGGGAAGGGATGAGCGGAGGGGGCGGAGGGAGGGTGAAGCTCGATCCTCCTCCTCCTCCTCCTCCTCCTCCTCCTCCTCCTCCGCCTCCTCCTCCTCCGCCTCCTCCCCCTTCCCTCCTCGTCATCCTTCCTCCTTCTCCTTCCGTACATCTTTCCCTCATCTTCTCCTCCGCCTCCGCCTCCATTCTCCTCATCCTCCCCATCATCATCATATTTGTGCTTGCACGGTTTTCATCTGCGCAATCCGCCGCCATTCGGGGGCTCAAGGCGCAAGGGCCGGCCGCGTGGCCGGATGGTTCCGTCGTGGCTGGGGCGCGTCGTGGAGGTGGCCGGCGCTGGGGTGGTCAGCTACCTGTCGCGCTGCCCGCCTTGCCCCTCGCTCCCTGCCCTGGCGAGCTGCAACGTGAGACTTGTGTGCCCGAGTATCCCACCTTGCCCGGCCCTGCCCAGCGTCCTGGGCGGGCCGCAGTGGGCCCAGGCGCCGCCGCCGGGGCCGACGTGCGGGGCCTGCCCCGCGCCGCCGACCTCCCCGGGGGAGCAGGTGTGCCGCTGCTGGACGCTCAGCTTCTCTCTGTTCCTCGTGGGGGTGCTCGTGGGGGCGCTGGTCACGAGCGGGCTGGGGAGCTGCCGTCGCTTGACATCGACGACATCACGTGCTGCGCCTGTCCGTGCGTTGACTGCGGGAGGCGGCCAGGATGGCGACCACCCAGTGGGTATACGTTTGGTACGCAGGCGAGAACAAGTGGCACCAGCACCTTAATCTAGGCAGGATCGCGCTGAGTCGGAGCGATCGCGTCATCTACACGGCCGATGGGGACATGTACATCATCCAGATCCAGGACAAACCGGACATCCAGGCGACGAGGTTCGGCACGCACGCCACGCCCCCCGTCGGCATGCGTCGGGCCGACATCTACGGCTTCAGGCAGGAGCCCACTCAGGCCGAGGTCCGCCAGCTGGTGGTCGAGGCCGAGGAGGTGGCGGGTCAGGAGTGCAGGCGCCGGGCCGAGCTCATCGGGGACTTGCAGGTGCTGCGCGGGCTGAAGGTGCTCGTCCCCCCTGGCGGGGCCGCCGCTGCGGGCCCGGCGGCGCCGCCGCCTGGCCCCGCCGTAGGGCTGCTGCGTGGCCGCGCCGCTGCCGCTGGGGCTGCGCCTCGGGCTGGCGGGGTGGCCGACGTGAACGACGGCGTGTGGCGTGTGGCCGCTTGTGTTGGCGACTTCAGGGTGGGCGACGAGATCGTGGAGCACGTGCCGACGCCTTCCCGCGTCGGGGATCGGGACCTGCACCTGCTCCCGTCGGGCGAGGCCCTCTTCGTGGAGTTCGTCACCTCGGCGGCTCTGCCGGGGTTCCTGCAGCGTGCCGTGGGGGCCGACGCGAGGATCCTGCCGGTGACTCGCAACAAGCGGGGGAAGAGGGAGCTCACCTGGTCGGCGATGGTCGAGCTCACCAATCGGGAGGAGTTCGACGCCTCCGACTGGGGGCTTCCTGGCCCCCGCACCGCCGACTGGTGCATGGACTACATCTTGAACGAGGGCCTCGGGATCGAGGGCCACCACGAGCACTTCCGCTCGATCTGCAAGCTGGCGGCCTCGGACTGGGGGGTGCAGGAGCACTACCAGCTCAGCTTGCAGCTCAAGCAGGCCCTCTGCATCGACATGCTGGATGGCTCGAACTTGGTTTCGGTGGAGACGAAGTTCAGGAGGATGCAGACGATCGAGTTCGCCCACTGGGACAAGGCGAAGGATCAGGAGAGCAAGGGGATTGGCGGCAAGCTGTCGTTGGAGGAGCAGGCCGCGTTCCCGGGCGTTACCCGCGCCCACACCGCCATCATGATCTGCCCGGACCTCATCGAGCACGTTCGGGCTGAACTCGAGCGGGAGGGGAAGCTGAACAAGAACCTGCGCCTGGCACGCGAGGAGCGCGAGTCCAGGCGCAAACATGGGTAGGCAAGGCACGGCCACTGGGAGCAGCAGGGACCCAGTTGGCCGAACTCCATCCTGCAGTGGTCCGAGCCGCACGCCGGGGCCAAGCGCCGCCACCCCGGGTCGTCGCGTGCCTCGAGATGTTTTTCCTCTACCTTACCCTTATGACCTTCAACGTCAGCGGGGAGAGGCTTTTCGAGGACTCAGCCGCGTCGTTCAGCAACGACACCTTCGGCGAAGCAGTTTTGAGAGGGATGTGACCCGGGCCGTGGATGCATTGAATTGGTTGAACGACTCGTCTACTCATGTCGGGCGGGACCGTAGTTTTACAGCAGGCGCCCTGTCGCTGGCCCAGCGCCGGTGCCTGGCGCACATCAGCAGCTCTGTGGAGGAACTTGGTGCACCTCCGCGAGATCTGTCTCCCGCAGAAGCGCCACGGCAGCTTCGCGTGGCCGGGGGCGGCTGCAGCGTCGAGGAGTCGCCCCTCGGAAGCTATGACCCCGCGCTCGTCTCCTTGCCGGACGGGAAGGTGCCTCCAGTGCCGCTCTCGGACGTGTGGGGGGCGATGGCGGGATATCCAAGGTCGAGCTTTTTGTTCAGCAGAGCCTGCTGCCGGCTGACGCGGCGGCCGCTCGACTGGACGCATGCTCTGTCAAGACGCCCTACTCTGATCCTCGGCTGAGGTGCGCGCGAGACTGGGAGGGTTGCGTTCGTGATCTGCATGCTCGTAATTTGATCGACTTCTCGCTGGACGACGGCGTGAGGGTCGACGCGTTCTTTGTCAAGAAAAAGGGGGGGCCGCCTCAGGATGGTGATCGACTGCAGGCGCAGCAACGTCGTGTTCGCCGACCCCGCGCCTGTCGCCCTGCCCACGGGGGATTCGTTCGCCGCCCTCGAGCTGGACGACCCCGAGGGCATCCTGAACGTGGAGGGCGTCGACCTGAAGGACGCGTTCTACCACCTCGAGCTGCCCATCGAGCTCAGGAGGTACTTCGTGATGCGGCCCGTCTTGGCGGGCTCCGTCGGTGTCTCCAGCCTCGGGGGATGCCAGGTCGCGCCGACGGCCAAGCTCTTCCCAAGGCTGAAGGTGGTGCCGATGGGCTGGTCGTGGGCGCTGTGGTGGTGCCAGTCCATCATGGAGCGCATCGCGGAGCAGTCGGGCTGCCCTGAGTCGCAGCGGCTGCACGACGGGCGCCCCGCGCCCGGCCTCGGCGAGTTCGGGCACCTCCAGTACGTGGACAACTTCGTCAGCTTCGGCTACGATCGCGGCGCCGTCCGCGCGGCGGTGGCGCGAGTGGCGGCCGAGCTGGAGCGTCGCGGCCTGGTGGTCACGCTCGAGGATCACGCTGGGGAGCACGAGGGCACCTTCAACGTCCTGGGCTGGGACATCGCCGCCTCGGGGAGGCTGTCCGCCTCGGGGAGTCGCCTGTGGCGTGCGCGGCTCGCTGTCAGGTGCCTTCTCAGGCGAGGCCGCTGCTGCGGGGCGGATATCGAGCGCATCCTGGGCCATCTCATCTTCGTCACGCTCGTGCGGCGCGAGGGCCTCGCGCTCTTCGAGGCCTGCTTCAGGTTCGCGCAGACGTCGTACCACGTGGAGGCCCCGCTCCCGGGCGGCGTCCGCACCGAGCTCGCGGTGTGGGATGGGCTGGCGCCCCTCCTCTGGCGGGACCTGAAGGCGGGCTGGTCGATGGACGTGGGCGCGGTCGACGCGTCGCCGTGGGGCCTGGGCGCCTGTCAGTCCACCTGGGCTCCCGAGGCAGTCAAGTCCGTCGGGCGCTACTGCGAGCGGCGGCGCTTCGGGCGGGCGGAGAGGCCCCCGCCGCGGCGCCGCGCTCTGGCAGCCAGCCAGCGGGCGCTGGGCCAGGCCATCGCTGCTGAGGTG